GATTCATTAAAGTATATTCTTTTATTAATCAATTTTGTACTGATTTGAACACAAATCGTAAGCTGCAAGAGAAACTGTACAATTTATGCGAAAATGGCTGTGTTCTTCAAGCAAATCCACTCTCGTTCAGACCAACAAATGTCTAGCTTTGTTGGTCATTCCACCTTATCTAACATTACATAGGGCTCAGTTAATCAATGCCACTTTTGCATTGAATCAAACACGATTTGTGAACGTTAAGAAAGACTGCACAAGGTATGCAAAATCCCTTTTCGGCCAGACGAACAAAAGTTCAGCGTTGTTGGTCGTTCCACGTTATCCAGTATTACCCAGGGCACAGTCAATCATGCCTATATTTGGTCGTCTTGACGTCAAAAGCGTAGGGTAGCTTTGTACTTGCAAAGTTCCTCCAATTATTGCCACATTATGTTGGGAACTTTTGCGCAAGAACCGATTCCCACGATAACACCCTCACCTAAAACCGTTTTGTGACGTAGTCTTTATCTCAGTGCAATCTCAACGCCCTCGTCGGGATATTTACTTGTGTTTTTGCCAAAGTGGAAGAAACGCGTTATTCCTACAAAAGCATCACGCAGTTTGTGTGTGAATGGCACAATGGAGTTCAAAATTCTCTCTTAATGCTAACGCAAATTTGACCATACAACCAAACCCCTTGAAATTATTTAGGTAGTACTTGCCGTGCGATTCGGTGAAATTTATTGATGTAAGCCTGAAAGACGGGCAGTTGTATCTGGTTGTGACAGTCCCCACCCTGATTTCGTATTTATTACCAAATTTTTGTTCATCTCCCTTTAATTGTAGCAGCTTCAATTGATCGGCGAGGACTTGAAGTGACGTGAGCACCTGCAATTGTGTCGAATTTGGGCTAAAATTGCACACGATGAGAGCATCAGTGGTGGAGCATATTTGTAAAACAGAAAAGAGAGAAGTGACAACAATCCAGAACGTCATTTTGAACAATTCGATTCTCCCTAGAACTGGGCGAGGCTTTTAATGCTTCAATGACGCGGAGGAGGAAATGGAATATTTTATTTCCAAAAAAAATGTTGAAGCATTTTTGTGAGCTTTTCTTCACGTAAGAACTTTTCCAAAGCTTGTGAATGCCCAGTTGTCATTGCCTCCTGACATTTTTTTTCTTATCAATCAAAATGTTCATATGCTACTAATGGGGTTAAGTAGTAAATGCTGAATGCGCCAACTCAAAATAATAAGGAAATGATACTTTTTAGAGAAAAAAGTTACAGCAGTACTATGTAAAACAGTTCACCGTTTCTTTTTCAAACTCGACAGATTGCAGAAGTTTTGACCTTAAAGAAGCTGTAAAAATTAATCGTTTCAAGATGGAATGTATATTTTCCTCACTTATCAGAAAGCAATGCAGCTGCTGCACCTACAACCTTTTCCTTTTCTTCCCTCTAATCCAGAGGAAATTCATAAGGATGTTCCTCTTCTCAAATCACGCCTTGACATTCGACCGATAATCTTTAAGTAGTGGAAACCTTTAAGCCTTTCACAGTTATTGAGACAAAAGGAAAAAAGTAGCCTCTTTCGTGGAGGAAGATTTGCAACTCCGATTACTTCTTCACACAGCTCATGACTTAAGAGATGCCTCCTTCGATAAATGCATTAAAAATCTCCAAAGGACGCCTAAATTAAAGCAGACATATTCAACTTCCTCTGGTAGAAAAAATGAACTAATTTTATACAAAGGTGAATATAG